GAGGAGGGGAAGGAGGCACAGAAGCAATTCCAAGACCCCGTCTGGAGGTCGCCAGACCCCACCCCAGACCTTCAAATCCTCCGCAAGCCTTCTGGCGAAGGACCCAACCAAATGCAGTTGTGAATGCCGCAAGGCAGGTGGGCCGAAGGAGGGGGAACTTCCCTAAGGCGCCACGACACGTGTGAGGGGGGTTTCAGGGGTCCGCGACATGAACGCGGTCAGGGCGAGCGAAATGATGAACTCAGCCCACAACTGCATGTGGACTTTTCCATTGAACTCACGACTGCATGCGGACTTTTTCATTCTGGCCTTCTGTGGAGCTCCTGGGGCTTGAAAAGCGTGGCAGGGGCGAGCGAAATGAGCCCACGAATGCAGGCGGTCTTTTGAATTTTGGCCACTGTGGAGCTCCACTGGAGCTTAAAAATCGTGGCAGAGGCGAACGAACTGAGCCCGCGAGTGCATGACTTTTTCATTTTGGCCTTCTATGGAGCTCCTACGGGGCTTGAACAGTGACAGGGGCGAGCGACATGAGCCCACGACAGCATGCGGACTTTTTCATTTTCGCCTTCTGTGGAGCCTCTCTGGGGCTTGAAAAGCGCGACAGGGGCGAGCGACATGAGCCCACGCCTGCATGCGGACTTTATCATTTTGACCTTCTATGGAGCTCCTATGGGGCTTGAAACGCGTGGCAAGGGTGTGCCAAGGCAACAGGGCAGAGACAATAATGAGGAGGGGAGGAGGACCCGGAGGAGACGCGGGGCGCTGCTGATTCAAAACGGGGACCCAACATCACAAGATGGTTGGAAACAAATGAGCGAAGACAAAAACGGGTATTACGCGATATAGCGTAGCGACCTCACGCTGTGGCTTACGCAGGCCGCAAGCGCGGTACGCTGCATCGAAAACGAAGCAGCTTACGCGCGACCCTACGCGGGCAGCTTACGCGCGAATGTCGGCGCAATCGGCATCCTTTTTCTGCGTCGACTAAATGGGAACCGAGTAAGCCAGCCTGATCAGATAAATTTGTAAACTACCCCATCCATCCGTGTGTAACTGCTTGAGGCTGTTCAGCGACATGTGCACGGCGCGGAGGCCAGAACTACACTTTTGAAAACAGAGCCGCGGTTCATACGTGTAGGTTTTTTTCCCAACCATTCCCTGGTTGGGGTCTCGTTTTGCATAGAGCAGTGGGGTGCCAACTCCCTCCTCCTCCTTCTCCTCCCGCCCTTTGTCCCCCATTCGCCTGCCTGCACCTGCCTGCACCTGCCTGCTGAGGGACCGCACACTGGGGCCCCACGCAGACCCAAACGGGACCTCGCCATCCCTGGGGGGCTGCGACGTGTGAAACTGTCGCCACTTTCGGAGGCTGCTGGGGGAGCCCGTACAATAAGATCCCACACAGACACAAACGGAACCTCGCCATCCCTGAGGGGCTGCGGAGTGTCAAACTGTCGCCGCTGTCGAGTGCTGCGGGGGAGCCAACACAATGGGGCCGACGCAGACCTAAACGGGACCTCGCCATCCCTGGGGGGCTGCGAAGAGTGAAACTGTCGCCAGTCTTGAGGGCAGCTGTGGGAGCACACACAATGGGACCACACGCAGGCACAAACGGGACCTCGCCACACCTGGGAAGCTGCGAAGAGTGAAACTGTCGCCACTTTCGAGGGCTGCTGGGGGAGCCCGCACAACGAGGTCCCACGCAGACCCCAAAAGGGACATCGCCATCCCTGGGGGGCGGGGGAAGGGGGGGGCGCGAAGTGTGAAACTATCGCCACTTTCGAGGGCTGCTGGGGGGGGGGGCGCACAATGGGGCCACACGCAGACCTAAACGGGACCTCGCCATCGAGTGAAACTGTGGCAAATTTCCAGGGCTGCTGGGGAAGCACGCGCAGTGGGGCCACACGCAGACCCAAACGGGACCTCGCCATCCCTGGGGGGCTGCGAAGTGCGAAACTGTCGTCACTTTCGAGGGCTCCTGGGAAAGCCCGCACAATGGGGTCCCACGCAGACCCCAAACGGGACCTCGCCATCCTGAGAGGGGGGGGGGGGGGGCTGCGAAGTGTGAAACTATCGCCAATGTCGAGGGCTGCGGGGGGGGGGGGGGGAGGGTGTGAACCTGTCGCCACCTCGAATCTGCCACGCGCACGTCGCATGATATAGACATCCGCCATGCACAGTCTCTTGCAGTGTTGCTGTCGCACTATTGTCGGCACACCTTTGTATCATCCCTTGGTGCCGATGGATGGGGTACATCGCAGGGTATTTTTTTGTGAAGCGAAGAAAATAGGTGTGCACGGCGCTGATGCGAGACCTGCATTTTGGAAACGACCCCTTCCATCCGCGTAGCTGTTGGAAGCTTCTAAAACAAATGCGCGCGACGCTAAACCGAGATCCAACTTGGGAACATTGAAAACGAAGCTCCCTCCAGCCGTGTAGCCTTTTTGGATTGAACAATGATTTCTAAGACTACGAATGTGCGCGGACCACATTTTGACAGTCACCCCCTCGTCATCCGTGACACCGTAGCTCCAGTGAAGACGAACGTGCACGGCGCCTCGGCGAGAGTTGCATTTTTGAAACCACCCTCCATCCATCCGTATAACTGTTGGAGGGTTTTGGGACGAAAGCGCGCGGCGCTAAAGCGAGAATCACATTTTGAACACGATCCCCATCCATCCTCGGAGAGGTTGGGAAATTAATAAAAGGGAAGAAGCCTCAAACGAAACGCCCGGCCCCTACCGAAGCGTCTGGTGGACACACGAGGAGGAGTTGCCTGCAACCTACCCGCAAAAACATACAAGCGAAAGACACAACCAATCATATGTTGCTGTGAATGCCGCATTGTGAGTACCGCTTTCGGTGGAACTCCCTCTGGGACCACGAAGTGCGTGAGGCGTATGCCGAAATGGGCGCGGTGGCGCCAAGCGACCGCAATCACTAGGGTCTTCGGAGGAGCTCCCTATGGGGCTACGAGGCGTGTGAGGGACGTGCCAGCATGGTGCGGCGGGACGCATGCGAAGCCTGCCATTGGGGCCTTCGGTGGAGCCCCCTATGAGGCCATGAAGCGTGTGAGGCGTGTGCCGAATTGGTGCGGCGGGGACGCATACGAACCCTGCCACTGGAACCTTTGGAGGAGTTCCCTATGTGGCGGCGACGTGTGTGAGGGATATGCCGAACTCGTGCGGGGGACGCGTGCGAATCCTGCCACTGAGGCATTCGGAGGAGCTCCATATAAGGCCACGAAGCGTGTGCAAGGTGTGGCGAAATGGTTGGGGGCCCGCGTGCGAACTGCGCCACTGATGCACTCGGTGGAGCTCCTTATGGGGCCACGAAACGTGTGAGGGGTGTGCAGAGATGGTGCGGGTGGATGCGTGCGAACCGCGCCACGGAGACACTCTGTGGAGCGCCCTATGGGGCCACGAAGCGTGTGAAGGTGTGCCGAAATGGGTCGGGTGGACACACGCAAACCCTGCCACTGGAGCCCCCGATGGGGCCACGAAACGTGTGTGGGGGTGCCGAAATTGGGCGGGGGACGCATGCGAACCCTGCCACGGAGGCCTTTGGCGGAGCTCCCCCTGGGGCCACGAAGCGTGTGAAGGACGTGCCGACATGGTGCGGCGGGACGCATGCGAACTGCGTCGCGGAGGCACTCGGTGGAGTCCCCTATGGGTCCACGAAGCGTGCGCGGGGTGTGCCGAAATGAAGCGGGGGGGGAGGGCATGCGAATTGCACCGCGGTGGCAGTCGGTGGAGCTCCCTCTGGGGCCACGAAGCGTGTGAGGGGTATGCCGAAACAGGGACATGCGGAGGGCAGAGGCAAGGATGGGATGACGAGGCCGAGGAGGAGAGGAGGAGACGCGGGGACTGTCTCTTCAGAGCGAAAGCCCCACACCACATGACGGTTGGGAATACGGAAAAGTGGGCGTCACCAAAAGAAAGGGTATGCAAGCTGCCACAACCAAGGACGACACAAAGCCCGCCATGGAGACACACAAAACATCCGCAGTCCCCCCTGGGAGCTATCACCCACGGCGGGCGGTGCTCGAGTCAGCAAAACTGTCAACGACGTTGCAAACCACCCTCCCTCCAAGGTCACTTTTCGTAGGTCCCTGAACGAATTCACTTTCATTACGGGAAATGGCCCATCAGAAGACAACCGTCTGATAATCCGCAACAGTGCCCAAACACCGTTCCTGGGAGTTCAAACAACAATACATCGTGCCAGAACACCACGTTTGGAACTTCAACACTGCGAATCGACGTTATTATTGCGTCCAGACAATCCTGAACCGTGCCAGAACGCCATTTCTGGGTCTCCGACCATATGAGCCTTCGAAGCTGTTGCAAACTTTCGAAACGAATGGGCGCGGCGCGAACGTGAGACCCACATTAAAAAACGGAGCCACCCTCCATCCTTGAAGCTGTTGCAAACTTTCGAAACACATGTGCGTTGCGCTACGGCGAGAGCCGCGTTTTGAAAATGAACTGGCGTCCATCCTTGAAGCGGCTGCACACTTTTAAAGCGAATGTGCGCGGCGCTGAAGCGAGACCCACATTTTGAAAATCACCCGCCCTCTATCTTTAAAGCTGTTGCGAACTTTTAAGGCGAATGTGCGCGGCGCTAGCGGGATAACAACAATTTGAAAAACTATCCGCCCTCCATTCTCGAAATTGTTGCAAACTTTTAAAGCGAATGTGCGCGGTGCGTTGCGCAATTTAGAAACCAATGCTCGCGGCGCTACAGCGAAGACCACATTTTGAGAACCACCATCCATCCATCCGTGAAGCTGCTGCAAATTTCAAGCTCCAGGATCATATATGGCGGGTGTGTCTCAAGCGAAATGCCTGGCCCGCCCTACTGACACGTCTGGGGGCGCGACAGGGGGGGAGTTTTTGATAAGGACAACGGATCGAGGAGGGGGTTAATTAATAACCAGGAGGCGGCTGAAGGGGGAGGAGGACGAGAAGGCGAAAGGCTGCAGGTCAGCCAGACACCGCGGCCTTCGTGGCCGCCTGCCTGGCGTCGAACAGGACGCGCAGCCTGGTGTCGACGTCGTCCTCGTCCGCGGGCCACGGCTGGATGTCCTGGGCTCTGCGTGCAGTCAAGACGTTTTACGGAATGCTCAGGAGGAGGAGGAGGAGGAGGAGGAGGAGGAGGAGGAGGAGGGGCTCCGGTTTCCGGGCCCTCCCTTCTGCCGAGGCCCGCCGTGGCCAGGATGACCCCCTTGGTTCCTGAGGAAGCCTGCCATATGTGGCGGCAGGATGGCTGCACGGCGAACCCCCACCTCCTCGCGTTGCGAACAAGTCACGGCGGCGTTCTCTGTTTGTTTGCCGCGTTCAGCCTCCGGGGGCCCTCGCAGGGCCCAGGGGCCATCAGAGAACGGCTCCCGGTGAAAAGCAGGCCCCTGCGAAGGGGCCCAGACCTCCGGGAAGCCACGTTGCCAACAAACATGCTCCCTTGGAGTTCTGGGCAGGCAGAGCGGCTACAGGGAGACATTGCAACATCGTGGAGCATCACGGCTGAAACCTGGACGTGCAGCTCCTGCGGCACCCCTCGAGCCGGATCGATCTGTGAGGGCGCCGTGGCCCGAAACCAGCCGACAACGCCCGCCGTGAATCGACTGCGACGCCCGGCCCAGGCAGAACGAAGGCAAGCTCAGCTCACTTGAAGACGCCGCGGGGGTGCCCGAGAGCTGGCGGGCCTGGACGACGCAGCGGGCGCCGCCACCGCTTCAGAGCGCACCTGGAAGGCTGCGCGCGCGTTCTGGAACGACTTACGGTCAGGTACTTTGGAGCAGCGTGTCGCCGCGGCGGCCCTGGCGGCACGCTATGCCCTGCAGGCGGATGGCGTGTCGCTCCGCTCCGCGGGGCGGGAGGCTCGGGAATGCTCGGGACGTTAAGCCTGGGGACTGGGCAGTGGATAGCGCGTCGCGCCAAAGCGTGGTGGGCCAGAACCGACGGAGCAACACGCTAATGCAAAATTCCCGACCGTTTCTTCATCCAGGGTCTGCCTGACAATCGACACCCTAAGAGCGGAGAACGCGCCTGGTCCCTCGGCCAGCCGAATCCTCGACCACCAGCTCTTCCGTATCCTCCTGCGCCTCGAAGCTCCGCCTCCTCCTCCTCCTCCTCCTCCTCCTCCTCCTCTTCCTCCTCCTCCCCCTCCCCCTCCCCCTCCCCCTCCCCCTCCTCCTCCTCCCCCTCCTTCACAGCTGCTCGATCTGAACGCTGCTCTCCTCCCGCCCCCGCAGGTGGCCGGGGCAGGGCCGCGCACTGTCAGCCAAGGACCAGCCGCCCCGACTTCCTCGGAGCCTCCCATCCCTGGGGCTCCGGCTCTGCCGCTCCCTTTTCCAGGCGGAGGGCCCCGCGCGCTCGCCGCCCCGCCCGGCCGCTCCGCCGGGGGGGCGCGCGCGAGGCAGGCCTCCAGGAGCTCCGCGGCCCGCCCGGGCTCCCTCGCGCGGCCGCAGGCGCCGATGAGCGCGGTGAACGTGGTGGCGTCCTGAGCGCCGGCCCCGGGCGCGGGGCGACGGGATCCGTGCATGCCCACGGCTCCCGGCCGGGCCCCTCCTGGGCCCAGGAGCGGTGCGCGCGCCCCCGCGGCCAGGCTCGGCGGGCGTGCACAGCGCTCCCGGGCCCAGGATGGGCCCGGCCGGGAGCCGTGGAGGTGTACCCAGGGCCCCGACGTCGTGGCTTTTTTCGCAACGTCGACCCTCAGAGGCCTGGACCCCTTCCCTGGGACCGGTGTCTCGTCCTGAATCGTTTCTTGGCAGTCCCGAGGCCCCGTCAGGGCCCCCGGAGGCCGAAAATAGCGAAAAAACTCCCGTCGTGATTTTTGCTTTGCACAGCGCGAGGAGGTCGAGGTACAGATCTCGTCGCCCTAGGACGTGCTCGCGTCCAGGACCAGAATCAGGGCGGGAGGTTTTTGGCCGTCCTCGGCCTCCAGGGGGCCCCTGCCGGACCCCCCCCCCCGGGGGCCGCCCACCAAATGGCTCGGGACCAGCGCGCCAGCCCTGGGGAGGAGGGCAAGGACCTCGGGGGACCGCGTGCTGGTTCCGCCGGTCCCAGGCCCCCAACGTGTTGGGAAATTCGGCGCGGCTGCTTCTCGTGATTTTCGGCCTCATGAGTGCCCTCGCCGAGCCCCGGGACTGTCACCGGTCGAGAGGCGTAACGCGGGTCCCGGGGAACGGGTCGAGACCTCCGGGGCCTCGTATGGAAAAGCAAAGCATCAGATCTCTGGGTCCCGATCTCCACTGGCGTGGGATTGGCCCCACTGGCCGACATACCCCCCCAGATGCGTGCTGTTTCCTTCGCGTCTCGCGGGGCCTATCCCCAACTGGGGGATGGGCTGGTGGGGCTGAGATGCCATGGCCCAAGGGGGATGGGAATCGGTTAGACGGTGCTGGCGTCCGGGGTCAGGCGCCGCGAAAGAATCTCCGCGAAGAAGCCCGGGCGCGGCCAGGAGGTGGCCGGCAAGGCTCCGAGCTGGGCACAGACACCCCCCTCCTCGCCCCCGAGGTAGTAGTCCTGGCTGGCCTCAACAGCAGCCCAGGGCGGTCTCAACACCGCGGCACCGCCTCCGAGCGCCCCACGGTTGGGGTGCTGAGACCGCCCCATACTGCTCGGGGATCGTGTCAAGGCCAGCCGGGACTGCCTGGTGGGGGGCTGTCTGCACGCAGCCCACAGCTTACCAAATGTGTGGCTCAAGACGTGGGCAGGGTGAAAACAAATATTTTGGACGAGGATGAGGTCGGGAATCTCTGAGCTATCGCGCACAAGCAGACCCCCCAGCCAGTTCCCGCTGGGCAGGGGGGCCCACGAGGCTTGAGAGTGGCCATGGCGCCCCCCAGGGGCTCCACGGCGGCGCGATCAGCTGGGGGGGCCCTGGACCAGGACCAGGAGGCCGAGCAGAAGGAGGAGCAGGATCAGGAGCAGGACAAGTAGGATCAGGACCAGGACGAGGAGGATGAGGAGGATGAGGAGGATGAGGAGGATGAGGTGAGGAGGAGGAGAGGAGGAGGAGAGAGGAGGAGGAGAGAGGAGGAGGAGGAGGAGGAGGAGGAGGAGGAGGAGGAGGAGGAGGAGAGGAGGAGGAGGAGGAGGAGGAGGAGGAGGAGGAGGAGGAGGAGGAGAGGAGGAGGAGGCGAGGAGGAGGAGGAGGAGGAGGAGGAGGAGGAGGAGGAGGGAGGGGAGGAGGAGGAGGAGCGAGGAGGGAGGGGAGGAGGAGGAGGAGGAGGGGAGGAGGAGGAGGAGGAGGAGGAGGAGGAGGAGGAGGAGGAGGAGGAGGAGGAGGAGGAGGAGGAGGAGTTTTTTGACATCCACTACTGCCAAGCCACACTCTCTGGGGGGACGGCGCCTCCCCCCAGAGGAGGGGGCAGGGCTGGTTGGCGCCTCCTGCCACTTTCGCCACCAGCCCTGCCCCACCGCTGACGTCACGGCAACTGCGGGGGGACTCACGCCGAGACGGCTGCCAGTCCCGCAGTGCCGTGGAAACAGCGGGAAAAAACTAACGCCACGGCGCGGGCTCCACACGAAGCTCGGATTTCGACGGATGCCGACCCTTACAAATAGCATTGAAAGTCTCGGTCTTCTTACGCGTCGGTGGCTGACATCGCTGAGCTAAGCCCCGAATATAACCCAGCGAGCCGTAGGAATGACACCTAAGACAGACAGTCAGGAAGGAGCCATCAGAAACGAGCAGCGATATGGCATGGTGCCCGAGCGCTCTCAGGGATGGGCCGTCCAGCTTCGATTCATTCGAGCAAGAACCTGGCGGCGGTATCGAGCGTCCTTTGCGCACGATCAAACAGTGCTGGCAACGCCAGAAAGCAAATCCGAAATACCCCTCGCGCTTCTCCCACGTCCAAGCATGGGGCCGCGAGGGAGGAGCAGGTTCGACGGGAGGGCGCTCCCAGTAGCAGTCGGTCAAATCCAACGGCGGCCACGCTGGCAGCAGCTTCGCTGCGAGCTTGCAGACCGCCTTGGCTATCTTAATTTGCCATTGCAGCCGGCTCTCCTCGGCCTCCGACGGACGGGGGTGGAGTCCAGCACCCTGCTTGGCGGCGCGATCCGCCAGGTCATTCCCGAGGCGCCTCCAGCGCTCCAGGGAGGATATGCCCGCTTCGTGCGGGTCTTTGTGGGCATCGACTTTGACGACCGACTGGACCGACGACACCCCAAGACGATACATCATCATCAGCCCCGCGAACGGGCGGCGATAGCTCAGCTGCGAACTCTTGTCCCCAGCACAAGCAGAGACCACGTTCAAGCAGTCGCTATAAAAAGTTGACAGGCGAGGCTGCTCCTGCCCAGGATGTCGGTCCTCGCCGATCTCGGCGACGGGCCCTTGGCTCGCGTCACTCATGACCTCCACTCCGCCGCGGGCCAGGGCAGCGAATTCGGCACACTGGGAGGTCTGGAGGAAAGGGGCGTGGATAGGCCCATAGATGTGGCACACCCTGTCACCCGAAGAGTCGACCTTAACGAGCCCATATCCAGCACGCGAGAGCTCGGCAATCTCATGACGGAAGCAGCTACCGTCAAGGAAGATATCGCCATCAAAGGTGCCACCGTCCTGGGGAGGCTCAACCCATTCACATCTGGCCTGAAATTCACAATCCAAAAACTCCCGAGACGGCCGAGGGAAGACGTCTCCAGGATGCGGAAAGACACCCCTCGTGAAAAGCAGAGCAACTTCGGGGTCGGCCAGGTCCGCGTCAGCGGCTTCATCAATCAAGCTCTGTGAAACGGTCTCCTCTCTCGTGGAGGCGACGGCAGGGCAGCGCCAGAGTCGATGGAAGGTCGAATCGCCAGTGAAACCGCAGAGCTCGCATCGATCCTCGAGACCGCGGTGCCCGACCTTGATCGCCCGATCGCGAGTCCAGAGCGCTTCGCAAGTCAAGCTCCTGATCGATCCACGTTCCTGGGAGGTGACCCGCGACGATCGGAGGCGAGATCGGACGATGTCGAAACACAATCGATCGCAAGACAGGCCCTGCTTAGCCGAAGCCTCACGCTCCAGGGCACGCCGACAGGCCTGCTGCAACATTTTCTTCAGCATAGCTGGGGACACGCTCGTCAGCAATATCGTCTCCCCGAAATCGTTCACGATCGTGACGAAATCTGACATAGACCACTTGATGCGAATAAGGGAAAGACGCATGGCGCTAATGGGTCCCCCGACGTCGCGCCACCTAGGTTCCGCCGCCGCGAACACGGTCTCCCAGCTGAGTCTCAACTGGTCCCAAGGGATCGTGTAGGGATAGGCACCCGTCTGGAGCGCCCATATTTCTTTGGCGTACCTAACCACGGGGGCCACAGCCCCCACCCAAGTCGGGTCATCGTTCAGAAGGAGGGTGGCGGTCAGCGAACGCCCCCCCGCACCAGGTCTCAGAACGCGCCCCGCTTCACGACGGATCTTCGCCAACTCGAAGTCCGAAAGCCCATGGATCTCCATCCCGTAGAGAACCCCAGGCAAAGTCCCAGAGACCCAAATACGCTTACAATACTTACCGAGGCTGCAACTCAGCTTGACGAGCTTCTTTGTAGAAGCTTTCAGGGTGTCCACGCGGACCCTAAACTTGTGGCCTCTCCTGGCGGCTCGTCTGGGTCTCCCTGCAGCATCGTCGATCCCCAGGTTCACGGCACTGTCCGTGATCGGCCCAGCGAGGGGCCCCAGGAACTGACGAAGCTGCGAAGAGACCTTAGCAGATGAGCAGACAAAAGAGGCCTTATCAGGCGCCACCTTGCATTTCATGTCCAAGGTGAGAGCGTCGTGCAGGCCCTGCGAGGCTTCCTTTAAATCATGCACGACCTGGGCCTTGGAGCCCACCGCAGACAGCCCGCTATCATCGATGTACTGGTCCAGCTGGACGCTAGGCCCGAGCTTCAAGGAGTCAAGAGGGGTGATCATGTAGACCTTGACCCATGTCGTGGCTAACGAACAACCCGCGATAACCCCTCGAGCCGCCATCAGCGGGCCCGAGACGTACCCAGCCATGCAAATAAACCGGGCCCCTCGGTAGGCCGCGATCGAGAGACGATATAAGGCCACAGGGACCCCGTGTTGCACGCAACGCTGTTCCAAAAGCCCGAGGTCGATGGTTTCGTAAAACTTGGACAAGTCCCAAAGAATCGTGGCCGCCACCAAACCACGACGATAGGAGCATTCAGCCCTGACTCCTTGACGCCACACGACGTCACTGGCCGAAGCAAAAGACTGGCCAGCGAAATAAGCTCGAGGATGCTCCAATTCCCACTGCTGTGCTATCACCCTTCTCGCTTTCCCCCACAATCTGTACATGCTGCAGAACAGGCCAATCGGCCTCCAGCCGCCGTGCGGCTTCATGATGAGCGCCAGCTGAACCAGCTGGATCTGGAAGGGGAGTGAGGAGGTCATTTCCATGATGGCCAGCATTAGGCCCACGACGTACAAGCAATCGTCGGTCATCCAGGAGTAGTGTTTCATGTGGAAACCGTCGAGCCCAAAAGCAGTCCTGGGGGAGTACCTGGAGGAGAGCATCCTGAGAAATTCGGGTTGCAAGAAAGGGAGGGGGCTACACATACCTTTCGAACCTTCATCGAGCGCGGGGGGCCCCGTCGACTTGGTACCCCATGATTCAGCATAGAGCGAAGACTGAGACTCCAGCAGAGAAAGAGGGTCAGAGAGCACAACCCCAGCCGAGCTGAGGGTCGTGGTAGGCTTCCAGCCCGCAGCAGGCTTGCGAGCGAGGTGAGCGTTCCTTCCTCCCTTTTCAATGTTGGTCAACAGCCATTCCTTCCAACTTTTCCCTCCCTGAGTCCTAGCATCCGACTGCTCGTGGACTATGGCGGCATCCAGCTCGCCAAGGATGTGCGACAGGTGCTCCTGATGAGCTTCATCCTCCACGCAGAGCCGACCACCTGGAGCCGCGACGATCGACACGAACGAGTGAATGGACTTGACGAGCGCCTGATACCTATCCAGATCGCTCGCGAACTCAGAGGGAATCTCCAGCAGCATCTGGCTCTTCTGGCCACACGCCTGCGAACTGCGAGGGAGTGCGTGCCAGTGCCTAAAGGTGTGGGACAACCACTTGATGGCGAACAGACGCGGGTGGCGGCCCTTGGAAGAGCCGCTCTTGAAGACAGGCTGTCAGACTAACTTGGGGCCCTTACTCCTGGCCCCGTAGTACGGGAGGGTGATATGTGCAGCATCAGCGATTTCACACTCCGCCAGACGAGCCCAGCGCCCGTAAACCCTACTCAACTCTTGGGTAGCCTGACCGACGGGTTCCCCTGGGACCAAAGAATCGAGAAGGGCACTCGCCTGCCCCTGGGGCCGCCCCCAGTGGGGAGGCCGTTTAGAGGGCCCGATAGGCCGCTGGGCAGGGATGGGAGGAGGTTTGTAAAATCCCAAAGCCTGCATCTTACAAGCACGAGGGTACATAACGATTTCGACAGGTGAGTGAGGAGCGAGCTGCGAGGTGGTAACCACGTCGACCGACTGAATAACCTTCGAGACCCCACTCGTCGCAACGAAATAGTCGAGCATTTTGATGCCCCCCGTGGTGAGGCAGGTCCCCTCGCCCTGGGGGATGATCAGGTTCCCATGGAGGCGTTCAGTGAACCCGCTGTCCTGGACGAGGTCGGGCGACATGTTGAAATCAGCCGCGACCAAACATTCACTAGCATACACCTCTGCTGCCGACCCAACCTTCCCCAAGATGTCAAGATTTCGGTCCGTCAGCCCCTCGGAGTGATGCATGTACACCGAGGCGAACAGGATGGGCTGGTCAAGCCCTCCAGGGAAATGAACCAGACCCGCAATGGCCCTACTTGGGACCAATTCCGACCCCTGAGGGAGGTCGTGAAGGCCTAGGAAGGATCGGCAGACTAAGGCGACACCACCTGAGCTTCCTTCGCCGACTCCAGGACGGGCTGGCGAGAAGAGGCCTTTCCAGCCATGTCTGAGGCACCAATCTAAAGCCGAGCGACACGACTCATCACTACAGAGGTGGTGTTCTTGAGCGGCCACGACATGGGCCGATGTGCGGGCGAGCCATTCTTTACATGGCCCCCAGGAGGTGGCATTGCACGTCTGGAATCTGAGGGCAAGCTGGTCGGACTCGGGGACAGGGGGGCCAGACGACGGGCCAAAACTGGGTCCTGACATAGGCCCACGGGCGCCCAAACCAGGGCCGCACCCCAACGACGGATCCGAGGGACCAGGAGGTATCAAACAACTTGGCGCCTCAGGTGACTTCAAATCTCCCCCCCACTTCGACCTAGGCAGTCGAGGTGGGGGGCAAAGATTGCTCAGGTGGTTGAAAGTCGGCTCCCAGCACCGTCTCGGCGCGGGCAAGCAAAGCAGAGGAGCGGGCGGCCGAGTCAGAATCAGAAACGCCAGCACTGGCCGAAGCTCCGGAGTGATCTTCAGGTTGAACGGCAGGAGAAGGTCCCGCCGCACGAGCTTCGTCATCCACATGACCACCACCAGGCATCGCCGCTCCCTCGGCCTTGCGACGCTTCGCCAGGCCCGAGACGTGCGACTTGTGCAGCTGCCTGGCCTCCTCGAGCTGCTTGGCCGCCGCCCCGAAGAGGTTCTGGGTGGTCTCGACAAGCCGCTTGCTGAGGTCCTCTGCACGAGCCGCCATTTGCTTGCGGTCCTCTTCGCCAAGCTCGTAGACTTCAGGGTCCACGTTGAAGAACGACTCCACACTGGTGGCGTCGAATAGCTGCTTCCCGTCCAGTAAGTCCTGGAGCGAAAGAGAAGCCGAAGAAGGTGGAGAGCTTGGTGGTGCAACCTCTGCTTGCAGCTGCGCAACGAGCTTCTTGTAGCGGTCATTCTCTTCGACCAACTGTTGACGAAGGGAGTGAATAGAATTCTTCTTATCAGCCAACCATGTTTGCCACTTCTCGAATTGCTCCAGCTCGTTGGACAGTTTCTTTTCCAAGGCCTTCCTGGCTCGGTCAGATTGATTCGCCTGCACTTGAATCGGTATAGGTGCCGAGCCAGCCTTCCTTTTGTCCAAGCGCTGCTGGAGCGCCGCGGCGTGTCCATGGTTGCCCATCTTCCTGTTGAGTGAGATGAGCTGGTGCATCTCGTCATCCGTGAGGTCAGCGTCGCGGATGACGCCCTGGCCTGCACCAGCTCCTGGTTGTCCTCCCCCTCCTTGTGGTCCCACAGGGCGAGGCTGAGGAGGAGGCGCCGATGGTGGGGCCTGCCCCGCTGCACCAGCACCGTTCGCCCATACACCGCCAGGTGGCTTGGGCGTGGAGACGTCGACCTCGGCTCGCAAACTGTGACACTGCTTGCAGAACCAGAAACGTCCCATGTTTTTCCCGCAGCCGCATTTCCCGCAACGCCACATAGCGTTGTGAACAGACTGCCAAGGAGGAGGGCCGCGGGTCCCTGGCGGCTTGCGCGGCGGCGGGGCCATGGCTTCGACTGAATGCTTCCACGTTAGCTACCTTCCCGGGGGAAGGCGAGATCTCAAGCGCCTACTGAAAGGCCCAGAAGCGAGCCCAAAAACTTGGGCCCAAGTGGCTTGAGAGGAGGAGGAGGAGGAGGAGGAGGAGGAGGAGGAGGGAGGAGGAGGAGGAGGAGGGAGGAGGAGGAGGAGGAGGAGGAGGAGGAGGAGGAGGAGGAGGAGGAGGAGGAGGAGGAGGAGGAGGAGGAGGAGGAGGAGGAGGAGGGAGAGGAGGAGGAGGAGGAGGAGGAGGGGGGAGGAGGAAGGGAGAGGAGGAGGAGGAGGAGGAGGAGGAGGAGGAGGAGGAGGAGGCGGCGGAGGAGGAGGAGGAGGAGGAGGAGGAGGAGGAGGAGGAGGAGGAGGAGGAGGGAGTGTAAACCCAAGGGTCACCAACGATGTTGGAATAAGCTCTCCCCCCGAGCTCCCTCTTCATAGGCCCCTACAACGGTTCCACACAGGGACCTGCCTCGCTGGAAGTCAACCGTTGGAAGACCCTGAAGCATGCCAAAGCATTGTGCTCGGGATTCCGAGGCGACGGACAACTTGACTGCTGCGTCTTGACGATCCTGAATGTGCCAGAACGCCATTCTTTGGACTTCAGCAATGCGAATCATCGTAACTGTTGCGCCCTCATAATCGTGAATCCTTCCACCACGCCATTTCTGGTACGTTGATCATGGGAATCCGTAAAACGCTTGCATTATTGTAACACAGATGTGCGCGGCGCTAAGGCGAGAACCACATAATAAAAACCACCCGCTCTCAATCCATGGAACCCTTGCAAATTTTGAAAACGAATGTGCGTGGCGCTAAAGCGAGAACCACATTTGAAAACCACCCGCCCTCAATCCGTGAATCTCCTTCACATGGTGAAAACGAATGTGCGCGGCGATTCGGCGAGAGCCACATTTTGAAAACCAACCGCCCTCCATCTGTGAAGCTGTTGCCAACTTTAAAGCTTCAAGGTCAGTAGTGGCGAGGAAGTCTCAGGCGAAACGCCCGGCCTGCCCTAAAACTGGCCTCGGGGTGCAACAAGGAGGAAGTATCTATCAGGAGAGGGAATGGAGGAGGAGGAGGAGGAGGAGGAGGAGGAGGAGGAGGAGGAGGAGGAGGAGGAGGAGGAGGAGGAGGAGGAGGGCCCTGGACCAAGTCGCCCACATGTTCGCACACCGCGCCCTGCGGTGCGTGACGCGCGACAATTCTTTCGCGCTGGCCACGACGCGCGGAGCGCGATGATCTTCGCGCCCCCACGGGGACCCGTCTCGGGGATCTGCGGACCCGGGTCAGTGCAGGCCTGGGTCAGTCAGGCTCTGCAGGATCCTGCACGACCCTGCAGGATCCCTGCACCCGAACCCGGGCCAGTGCCACCCTGGCCCTGCAGGATCCTGCAAGATCTGGCGCTCCGGCTGACCCCCGTTTGCGCTGATCTCCCGTCTGTTGAGCCCCGAGGAGGGAGGAGGGAGAGAGAAGCGAGGGAGGGAGGGAGGGAGGGAGGGAGGAGGAAGGAGGGAAGGAGGAGGAGGAGGAGGAGGAGGAGGATGAGGAGGAGGAGGAGGAGAAGAAGAGGAGGAGGTGGAGGAGAAGCAGGACCTGTGTAAACCCAAGAGTCATCAGCGATAATGGAATAAACCCTCCTTACAAGCTCCCTCTTCATAGACCCCTACTGCGGTTCATTTTCACTGAGGGAACTGCCTGGTTGGAAGACACCCGTCTGAAGACCCTGAAGCATGACAACACATTTTTCTCTGGATTCCGACGCCACGGATCAATTTGACTGTTGCGTCTTGGCGATCCTGAATCGCGCCAGAACGTCATTCCTGGGACGCCAACACCGCGAATCAACGTAACCGTTGCGCCCTCACAGTCCGGAATTCTTCCAGCACGCGATTTCTTGTACGCCGATCATGGGACTCCGTGAAATTCTTGCTGACACGCAAAAAAATAATGTGCGCGGTGCTAGTGCGAGAGCCATATTTTGAAAACCATTCGCCTTCAATCCGTGAAGCTCTTGCAAATTCTTACAACGAATGTGCGCGGCGCTATGGCGAGAGCAACATTTTGAAAATGACCCGCCCTCCATCTTTGAAGCAGTTGTATTCTTTTAAAGTTTCAGGGTCATAATGTGTGAGGAAGTCTCAGGCGAAACGCCCGACCCGCCCTGAATCGGGGTACGACAAGGAGATTTTATTAATAAGGAAAGAGAAAGGAGGAGGAGGAGGAGGGAAGGAGGAGGAGGAGGAACAGAAGGATGAGGAGGAGCAGGAGGAGGAGTAGGAGGAGGAGGAGGAGGAGGAGGAGGAAGATGATGATGATGAGGAGGAGGAGGAGGAGGACGAGGAGGAGAAGGAGGAGGAGGAGGACCCGTTTGCATTGACCCCCGTCTCTTGAGCCCCGGCCGTCGTGGGCCGTGGGCCATCTCTGGCAGCCCCCGAGGAAGTCAAGCGCCCTCATCTGCAGCCGGGCGTCCCCGCTGCGGCCGCACGCGCTGACGAGCGCGTTGTACGTGAAGAGGCTCGGGTGCACGGCCCGCTCCTCCATCGCCTCGAAGACCTTTTGGGCGGGTGGTAATGGGGTATGACCCACATGGGGTTGAAGGAAAAGGGCCCTCCTCGAAGAGAAAAAAACGGCACAAACATTAAGTTTTTTTTTTTGCGCTCCGCGCGGATTTCTTGGATCGGCGCCTGGGGCCCCCCGGCGGCGCCTCCGGCGCCGCCCCTGGCGCGCTCCGCGCGCCAGGGAGGTGGGTTTGGCGGAGATCCAAGAAATCCACGTGGACCGTCGAAGGTTTCTGCTCATGCAGCTTCTTCTTCTCCTAGCTTCTCCACCGCCTCACGACCTTGGCGTGAGGGCGCTGGGCCCCGAGAGACCGACCCTGGACCACGGGGCCTTTTCCCAGTCGGCCACACTAGGGGGGGAACAAACCTACCTCGCTTTTGACCACCCTCGCTTCCAAGAGATACCAAGCGATGCCAAACTACGGCCTGTACTGGTCAGGCCGCTTGACGAGGAGGCGCGTGGTATGACTTGGTTTTGCCTGGAAGCGAAAGCGGGGTAGGTAATTCACGCTCTGACACACGCAAGAGCAACAGCGACCTCTGGTGCGCGGCTTGCCGATCGTGGCCTGCGGTGCGGCAGTGGCGGCCTCCCCGCCTGGGATCTGTGGCCTCCGAGCCCCCCGACAGCCGCGCACCAAAAGGTCACGTCGGTGGAAGGCCACGTCAGTGAAGGGCCACCTCTCCATCCTGAGCCGTGTCTTGACAGCCCCAGGGTCCGCGGAACGACCCAGAGAGCCCAAGGGCGGCGGAAAGCCTGAGGACCCGCTTCCCTCAGGGCCACTTCCCTGACATCCGCCGATGTGTTCTTTCAATTCCGGCCACTTCCCTGGAGGTAGGTTTTCGTCCCGGACCTGTGTTTCGTGGTTCCAGTGCCCGATCGCTTCCCTGGGGGGGAGTCCCCGGACCCTTTCTTGATGGTCCTGGGGCCCGCAAGTAGGGCCTCGAGGGCCGAGGTCGAGGAAAACCACCGCTTCAAACAAACATGGCGTCATAGATCTGCTTGGATCACCGCGGGGCTTGCTGAGGGGATAGGGGGGGGGGGTAGACATGGACTTTAAGTGTAAACAACAGGAAGATACAAAAGGTCAGTGGATGCTAGGTCGGGTCATATCTGGCCCAACCGAGCATATAAGTGTATGAGAAGTGCCCTCAGTGGCTTTTGGGGTAAAGATCCGGGCTAAGGGGCGGAGCCCACTTAGCGGAGTTCTCTAACCACCGTAAGAAACTGAACGCATTTGAAACTCACCGATAGGCCAGGCTAGGCCAGGCATAACACATTAGCATCCGCTTCTACACTCAACCCGAATAGTAAGGATGGGCAACCTTCCCAACGGTACCTTTGCATCCTTGCCTCCTCGTTCCATCCTTGGCCACTTTCGTTGGCCGCGCCCCGCTCGAAAAGCTTCGACATAGGCGTCCAAGGCCCTTGCATCCTTCTCGCGCATCCATACTATACGGGTTGACTGTCACCCCCCATATCTCCTCAGCAACCCCCGCGGTGATCCAAGTGGGCTTCCTCCACGGCGGAGACCTCCAGGGCCTCCGCGGGCAACCTCCCACGGTCGCACGCGCTGATCGCCGCGGTGCACGCCACGGCGTCGAGCGTCAGTCGGCTACACGGCAGCGTGACCCTCAGGCGAGAGCCACCTTTGGTGCGCGGCCTTCGGAGGTGCGCGCGGGGGCCACCACCCAGCCGCGCAAGCCGCTGCTGTCGCCGCGCGCTCGACGACGGGGGGGTCCCAGCGGGCTCGCAACCGAAGGTCACTCCAGCGAAGGGCAGGAGAGCCCAGAATCGAATCGAGAAGTCGGATCGGCGATCAAAACGAATCGGGTCGGCGGGAATCGGCAGCCGAGTCGGGAGAAGCCGAATCAACGGAAATTGGCAGGCCAGTACGCCTCCGCTGAGAAATCGGAATCCAAATCGGACTCCGAAGTCGAATCGGACATCGGCATCGAATTGCATCGAGTCGGAGGCATCGAAGTGAGCCCTGAAGGGCCACCCCTGCGTGCAGCCGAGTCAGCGCCCGCGCCCAGGCCTCGTCCAGCAGCCGCAAGGCCCTGCGCGGCGAGCCGCCGCGGTCGCAGGCGCCGATCAGGGCGCTGTAGGCCACGGCGTCGGGCTCGACGCGGCGCGCCAGCAGCTCGTCGAAGAGCGCCAGCGCCCCCCCGTGGTCGGCAGCGCTGCCGCACGCGCCCACCTCACGAGCGGCGAAAATATCCACGTCCGCGCCCTCGGGGTCTGGATTCTGGGCGCCGCGGATCCGCGGTCGCACGGCCTCGTTCCGCGCGGGGCGCCGGAAAAACGCCCCGTTTCCGAGGGGTCGCGGCCCAGGGGCCTAGCCCGGTAGGCCGCGGATGCGGATAGGTTTTTCGCTCACGGCCACCAGCGCCGCCAGCGTCACCTCGGCAGGGCCGCACCAAGGGCGTGGCGCGACCCTGAGACTCGGGCGTTGCAACTTTTTTACGCCGGGCGTTTGCGCGGCCGGCTTCGGGCCCCAAGACCATCACATATCGATCCGGCTCGAAACATGCCGCAGGCAGATGGGGTCTAGGGCTCTGGTCGTGATTTTTGTGTGATGTTGCATTTTGGTTCGAAACGTTGGGTTGCGACTTTTGTGTGATGTTGCATTTTTCGAGGGGGGGGGGCTTCTGGGAAGGCGAGGGGCCTCTCAGAAGCTCAGGGGGCCTGTCCAGAATGGCCTGGAGGCGCCCCTACAGAAAGCCCTCGTCAGAGGCAGAGAAGGGCCTCTGAGAGGGCCCTGGCCTCCTCAGAGCCCCACCGCCCTGGAGGCGGCCCGGGGTTCTGAGCAGGGCTGAGCCTAAACGGTGTTTTTCGTTTTCGTCTTGTTTTCGTTTTCCCTCGTTTTGTCTTCGATTCGCCTTTACCGCAAAACGACATCGAAACGAAAACGGCCCACGAAATCGCCCAAACACCGTTTAGGTCCAGCCCTGGTTCTGAACTGGCTGGGGCCCCAGGAAGTCGGCAGGAGGGGGGGGGATGCAGCCAACTCCGCGCAAAAACGTTCCTCGGACGGGGCCCGAAAACGGCCCCCCGAGGCCGAAGAAGGCAGAACACTTAGGTCGGGCGTGTCCCCCTACAGGCGGATTTTTGACGAAAAATGACAAGTACCCAACACACAATCGAAGATGTTTAAAGATTGTCAAACAATCGTCCCCAGACTATTTCTTCAGACATTTTTGAATAGTCCTCCTGTAGAGGGACACGCCCGACTCAACAGAAAACTGTGTTGAACCCAGCGCGTCGAAGCTGCCCACCCCGCCTGCTCGCCGGAACCAAAGCTGGGCCGCCTCAGGCCCCCGGGCCAGCTCCAGGGGAAGGGCCTCTGAGAGGGCCTTGGCCCTCGAGGAGGAGGAGGAGTAGAAGAGGAGAGGAGGAGGAGGAGGAGGAGGAGGAGGAGGGGAGGAGGAGGGGGAGGGGGAGGAGGAGGAGGAGGAGGAGGAGGAGGAGGAGGAGGAGGAGGAGGAGGAGGAGGAGGAGGAGGAGGAGGGGGAGGGAGGATGGGGAGGCCCAGCGCCTCCTCAGAAAACCAACCCCGTCGCGCCACACCCGCGTTGCGCGCGTCGCCAGTCCTCGCCATCGCTCGGGCGCTATTCCCCCGTGCACTTTTCGATTTCGTGCGTGCTTTTTTTCCCACAAGACGACTCAAGATGCTCCTCGAGGGTCCTCGCCGAGAAAAAGGCACACGTCCGAGCGATGCCAAGAGTCACCGCATCGGGCTGCAGGGCCTCCCGCCGCATCTCCTCCAGCAGCGCAAGTGCGCGCTCGGGCGCTCGCAAGCGCTCGCAGGCGCCGATGAGGGCGTTGTAGGTGACGACCGTGGGCCTCAGGCCCAGCTGCCTCGCCTGGAGGAGCAAGCAACTGCATACAGCCAAGCTGCTGCAAGAAGGAGTGCTAAATGAGGAACGACGCCCCTTTCTGGCACCAAAGGAGCTTGGGGACACGAATGACATAGCACACTAGCATCGAATACAATATACTATACTGTACGATCATGCAATGTACGATAATAAAAGCTATACTAGAACAGAGCAGACTTTGATGCAGTAAAATCGAATAGAATACTCGATGGAGCTCTGATTCGATAAGCATCGAGAAAGCTAGGAGCTCTGTGCGCTGCTTTGGCAGCTAGACCTCGCGCCCGAACGCAGGTAGCCTGCCGGGCACCGCCCGCGCGATCCCGTACCAGGCGGCCCCCCTCATTAGGAACGCAGCCAGGGAGGGTGATGAGGGCAAGAGGAAACACCACGGAATGACCCAAGAGACAGCGGGCCCCTTCTGAACCCAGAGCGGTCCTTATGTCAGCGCATTGGCTGTAAAAAACAAGTTTCGGATGTCTGCGCGGATCTCTGAAAATTAATGCTTGTGCCGTTTTTGGATCTCTGAGCGCCAGCTCCAGCACGCCCAGCGCCCGCCAGGGTTGCGGACCCTTCGCGAGCGCGCTGGCTAGAGGAAGAACAACCGCTTATGCAGAAACTTTTAGAGGTCGGCGTAGATTTCTTGGATCGACGGTTGGCTCCCCTGGCGGCGCCTCCGTCACGGATCCAAGAAATCCGCGTGGAGAACCGAACGTTTGTGCTTGTGCAGTTCTTTCTTCCTCGACTGGCGAGGGCGTTGCAGGAGATGGCGTTCGGCTCCAGGCCGCGCTCGATCATCTCGCCGAACAGCTTCAGGGCCTTGTCGGGCTGAGCTGCCTTCTCGCAGACGCTGATCAGAGCGCTGTACGTGACGACGTTAGGCTCGACGCACGCCTGCCGCATAGCGCCGTGCAGCTGGAAGGCCTTCGATGGCATCCTTCCCTTCTCGCAGGCGCTGATGGCGGCCCCGTAAGTGATAACGTTTGGCGCCAGGCTGTGCAGGTGCATGTCCTCGAGCAGCTGCAGAGCAGCGCGAGGGCGGCTGGCTCTGGCGCACGCATCGATGAGGGCACTGTACGTGATGACGTTCGCCTCTAGGGCCCTCGCCCGCATCTCGGCAAGGTGGTGCAACGCGAGCTCCCACTGCTTGCTGCGCTTGCAGTCTCCTATCCGTGCAGTAAACCACCTCGCCGTGCTGGTGCCTCGGGAGCTCCTGCTGCTGTCCTTGCTGCCGCTTGCGTCAGCGGCCCGACTCGCCGACAGGCACCGGACCTGCGTGGCAGCCGCGGCAGCCCGCCTCGAGGCGCGCCGGCGCGCCGCCAACGGGGGCATGCTGCGCGACCTCGCTGCGGCCACAACTCGATGCCATTGCCAAGGATAGAAAAACGAAACGCTGCATAAGCATAAGCTTTCGGCGGTCCGCGCGGATCTCACGGGCCCGCACTGGACCTTCCCCTCTTGGCGCGCTCCGCGCGCCTGTGGTGGCGCTGGAAGCGGTGCCAGGGGGGCCGGGCGTCAACCCGAAAAAGTCGCCCGGACCGCCGAAACAGTACGCTTATGCCGCTGTGCTTCCTCGCGAGAGGGGGAGGACAGCGGGATGGCAAGGGGAACTGCCCCAGCGGCAGTGGAGGACCGCCCGAAGAGCCCGCTCCCGATCTGCTGCTACTCGACGGTCCTCAGAACGTGTGTTGACGCCAACGCGTCTGTCCTTCGAATCCCTTCGGGCACGACGCAGGCGGTGTAAAGAGGGCCGACACAGGCTGCGTGCTATTGACGGGGCTAGGCGGTGCAAACACACGTTTTTGGACGCCCGAAATGGGTACCGAAAAAATGGGTACGATGCCCAACAGCAAATGCTGTCCCAAACCAACAGCGGCCGCTGTTGGGCAGGCGGCCTCCTGTCTCGAATGGACACAGGCCGCGGCGGCGTGGACAGCGGATCTGGTTCAAAATGAACAGGAACTGCTGTTGGGCATAGTACCCATTCTTTCAGTACCCATTTCGGGCGTCCAGAACGTTGGGCTACGATCGGAACCTTTTGCCAAGCGTGCCGCTGCGGCGGCCCTGGCGACACGCCATGTCCTGCGAGCGGATGGCGTGTCGCGCCGCTCCGCGGGGCAGGAGGCTCGGAGAGGCTCTCGGGGCGTGGACGCTCGATGGGCTGGGAAGTGGTCAGCGTGTCGCGCCGAAGCACGGTGGGTCAGAACTGGCGGAGCGATCCTCCTCCTCCTCCTCCTTCTTCCTTCCTCCTCCCCCACTCTCCCCCCCCATCTCATCCTCCCCCTTCCTCCTCCTCCCCCTCCTCCTCCCTCCTCCTGCTTCCTCACCTCTTGCTCCTCCTCATCCCGCTCCCCCCGCATCCTCCTCTCCTCCTGCACTGCTGTATCACTCACCTGCCCCACGCCGCAACCTGCCTTTTTTTTTAAAAGCCGCAGGGCAAGCACTGCTTCCCGTCGGTGGCGAGGCGGGGCACTCCGCTCCAGTGTGGCAGCGATGCAGGGGCACCACAGAGCGACTCGGCTGGCATGCAGGAGGAGGGAGGAAGGAGGACAGGGCGGCCGCGGGAGGGAGGGGGACGGGCGCAACAAAAAAAAAACAGGGCAACGCACGCCTTGGGCCAACACGCGTCATGAGGATCATCGAGCTGTCTCGGGGCACGTCCAGCGGCGACCGGCCCCCGGCGGCAGCGGAGGGCCGCCTGGGCGGCGCGGGGCCTGAGCTAGAAGTGGCCGCGGCGCTCGTCCTCTTCCTGCCCGCCGTGCCGCTGCGGGGCCGGCTCGGGGAGGGGTGCCCGCCCGAGCTTCGGCGAGCCCCAGCCAGCACTCGCACGGCTGTGCAGCACCGCCACCGCTGCTCCTCCTCCCCATCGGCGGGACCCCACCCCCTCCCAGACTCGCGCCCGAATGCGCCATACCTCCCCAGCGCACACAAAACTGTCCTGCCCCCTCCTCCCCCCCCTCCCCCTCCTCCCACCCCTCCCCTCCTCCTCCACCCTCCCCTCCACGACACACCCCCCCCCCCCCCCCTCCCCCCCCCTTCCTCTCCTCCCCTCCTCCCCCCTCCCCTCCTTTTTTTTCTTCCTCTCCGTCCCCCCCCCTCCTACTCCCCCTCTCCCCCCCACTAGCCCTCCCAGATAGTCCTGGCAGGATCCCCCCATTTACCCCAAGAGTCGGGCAGTACATCCAATGCCCGCACCAGAGGCAAGTCTTTTCTTTACTTTTAAAACCTTTGGTCCTCCTCCTCCTCCTGCTCATGCTCTCCCTCCTCCCATACATCCTGGGTTTACTCTTGTCCCATTCCTCCTCCTTCTCTTCCTCCTTCTCTTCCCCTTCCCACATCTTCCCCCTTCTCCTTCCTGAAGCTTCCTATCGCCCCCCTTCCTGAACCTCTTCCTCTTCACAATCCTTTTTCCCCTCCGCCGTAGTCCCTTTCCACCCAACACCCTCCGCCCTCTCTTTTCCTCATTCTCCATTACTTCGTCCGCCTTCCCTTTTAACCCCCCCACAAAACCTCCAAAAGCCCTTAGAGCCCCAGGCCCTTCAAGACCATCCCTAACCACCCAATAGCGGCCGCCACCACCACCCCTGACACTGTCTCCCTCCTCCTCCTGCTCCTGCTCCTGCTCCTCCTCCTCCTCCTCCTCCTCCTCTTCCGCCTCCTCCCAACAGGGCCCGTCAGCATGGAAAACTCGCATCGGGCGCCATACCGGATCCGATAAGACCTCCAACCGTCCCGTGCTGTTTGGGCCCTCGCTCTCCCCCCGCAGCGCCGCGCGTCTCGCTCACTCGCTCGCTCCCCTTCATCCTCCCCCTCCTACCCCCCCCTCTCTTCCTTCCTCCATCCTCTTCCTCTTTCCTCCTCCTCCAACTCTCCTCCTCCTTCCTCTCCTCTCCTCCCTCCCTTCTCCTCCTCCTCTCATCCTCCTCTCCTACTCCTCCTCCTCCTCTCCTCTCCTCTCCCCCCTCCCCCTCCCCTCCCTCATCCGTCTCCTCATCTCCCCCTCCTCTCCTCCTCCTCCACATCGTCCTCCTCCTCACCCCTCCTCCTCCTCCTCTCCTCTTTCTCCTCCTCCTCCCTCCTCCTCCTCTCCACTTCTCCTCCCCCTCCTCCTCCTCTCCTCCCT